CTATTTTGAATAGGATTTCAAGAAGTAGTCTGGGAGCCCTTGAAACATTTTATGATCCATTGTACTATTTTTTTTAATGTTAAGATCTTTAGCTTAGAAATGTCTAATGATAGTTTTTTTAATGAAACTCATGCCAAAATTACATGTACTTTTCAGTTTTTCTTTTGGCTCTCATTCTGAGCCAGAATAACTTATACTTGATTTAAGGAATTAGGCTTTTATAAATAGTCTGCTGAAAGCAACTAAATTCATTGGGCACCCATTATTTCATGCCTGATATATTGTTTTCCACAGAGTGTTCTTGTAAATATGTTTGCACAATGCAAATTAGGCTAAAGCGCTAAGCTATCAGATCTGTAATGTTCAGGGAACAATAATTTCTTTAAAAGTGTGATCTGCTGTGTTAAGGGATGTTTGTAATCTCTGAAAGGGTTACTGAACAGGTGAAGTCTTGGTGAAAGCATTTAGCATAGAGATGAAATATGTCTCATTAAGTTTCTACATTATTCACATGCCAACTCCTCTTTTGTCATTCTCTAATAGTGTATTTACATAGCTGAAGATTGCTATTTTATTACTGGTGGTTATAGCAGTAAGATGATTTTTGTTGGGTTTACCTAAGTAACAGAATGGGCTTCTGTTTCTACAAAACTAATGATGAGGAATTCAACTCCTCCATACCCTGTTCACTGCCCTCTGCTCTTTGCAGTGAAGAGGTCCTACTTGCATATGTAAATAAGCCATTCAGTTCACAGCCCCATGGAGCCCACTGAGGTCCAATCTATTATTTTGATGATGTTGATATCATTAGCCAGGAGGTAAATGGTATCAAGAGACTGATCTCTCAACCTGGAATGACAGCAGAGTCTGAAGCCTGTCATTTAGGAGAAACAGATTCTTAGAACTTAGAGTTTGTGTAATGAAAATTAAGTCACAAATTTTGTTTTTAACATTAACATGAGTGATAGAATTTAATATTTTTCTTGAACACAGAGAATTATGTGAACAAATATATATAT